AGAACGCCCAAATCTGACTTCGTATGAAGAAGTTATGATTTTTCTAAGATTCGGCTTAGCAGTGTACAACCCGAAACTCGAATTTTAGTTCGAGCGGTTTTTGGCTTATGCGACCTAAATGAGAGTTGAAGATCTCATTAATAGGAACTCAACGGTAAAAAGACAGACGAAAACGGAGTCCGTATGAAGGAGTTACGAATTCTTCGCGGTCATTTAACAGTCTAAACGCCTCGTACTGTTAAATTTAAGATCGGTCGAGAATTAGCCGACGGAGTCAAAATGAAAGTTGTAGATATTATTTTTACCTACGCGTGGATATAAAGAACGTCAAAAACGGAGGTCGTATGTGAAAGTTACAGATTTTAGAAGTCGGAAGTGTGCTGTGCGAAAATGGGTGATGTGGCACAATCTTGGCCATTGCTTTCTCCCCAAGTCTTGCCACTAGTTCAGCCATTTTCACCCTATAAATACCACCTCTCCCACCCTCATTTTCTTCACACCTTTTCCATTCTTTCTTCTCTTTACTCTCTTTCTAGAACCTCTCTCTAGCCCCGAAATCCCCCGAAAAGCCTAGGGAACCTCCCTAGCACGAGGCGGAAGCCCCAGAGTGCTCGACAACTCCAAGAAGAAGAGCTTTTCGGCTCGGAAACGCTGCTCCAAGCAAAGCCTGGTTTTCTATAAAACCCGCTGTAAGTGAGCTACGCTACGCTATTTTTAATATAGTTTTTTATTTAATTATATTAACGTTATTAAGAACATATAATAAATACTTGGGCTATTATTATGGGTTATATAAGTATTTTTTTAACGCTTATATAATAGTAATAATAGCTAGACTATTAATTAGTCTCGGCGAATAATAGACTAAAATCTATTGGTGATAATACTAGGTTTCGTCGAAGGAAATTATTTTAAAGTAAACGAAGCGTTGTCCGAGTACCGAGTCACCACCTTCTCAGGTGAGTGCATGGTCCCTTTCATCTTACACATAGATATGAAGTATTTATTATATAATTTACGATTTGTGAGTGCATAGTCCCTTTCATCTTACACATAGATATGAAGTATTTTAATATAAATTACGTGCTATGTGTGCATATTGTCTGAATACTTGTTGTCTATGCTGAGTGAAAGATTTTTATACATGTTTTAAATGATTTAAACTGTATACGTATTTTATATCTAAAAAACGTGTTGGGTAAAACATTGGTAGATGAAATAGTTGTTTTGTGATAACACGATGGGAGACATCAGTGTTGTCAGTGATCTAGTCATCTAGTGGAGTATAGATGATGACTATGGACGATACTAGACGGTCCAGTGGAACGATAGCAGGTTCGTAACATGTAGGTATTTTTGAACTAGGTTCTCATTAGGTATTTTTGAACTGAGTGTGTTCACTACGTATCTTTGAACTGAGTGTGTTCACTAGGTATTTTGAACTAAGTGTGTTCACTAGTTACTTTTGAACTAAGTGTTTACCAGATGTTTCGGACTACGTGTTCACCAGATATATTCTATAAGCCTTGGTAATGATGGACTTCGTGTCGATTCCTTAGGATGATCCTTAGGACTAAATAAACGAGGAATAGCTGATTCTTAGGGTAGATCCTTAAGACTAAAGAAGATAATGGGGATGGGTAATTGGGTTGATTGTTTGATTGTTTAAACATAATAATTATATTATTGTGGGTTGAAAACCCTATGTACTCACCAGGTTTCCCAACCGGACCCACTCAGTTTATTTATATCACAGGTATTGATACGAAGTCACTTTACACTGAGAGATTTAAAGAGATGTAGATCACTAGTGTAAATAAATGTAAGTTCTGTTTATGCTTATGTTCCTGTATTGACGATGACATCCCAAACTTTTTAAAATGAATAAAGTACGTTTCTTCGGAAATGTTTTAATAACGTATTTATCATGTTTTTCTGGGAACAAATTCCGCAACATTTTTATTAAAAGAAGAACTCTGATTTTTATAAAGCATAAACAAAAACCGGTCTTTTCTGACCGTGAAAATGGGGATGTCACAGTAAAGATGTCTCCGTTCGTGTACCACCGTTTAGAAGGGAAGAAAGGACAAAAAAGAAATAAGAAGCGGTGTTGGTCCAACACTTGTTGAAGGTCTAGTTCATGAAAAAGGGAAAAATATATATATGATTTTGTGGGTGAGACATGTTCTAATTAATGTTATTGAAAAGATAAACCTAAAAAAAATGAAAAAAGAAAAAGAGAAAATATCAATGTAACGCACTCAATTATTGTCATTTACACGATTTGGTTACTAAACTATTTTTTTACATAATATGTCATTAAATTTCCTCAACATGTCACAATTCCACATAGGCTCGGTAGTTAGGCATCTGTTAAAAATTAACGGAAGTGACTTAGTTGAAAGATTACTTGTAAGTTTAATGATCTGTGTACAATAAAATAGTTTAGTGATCAAATCGGATAAATCACAATTGTTTATTGTGCTACAGTAATATTTTCCCTTATATCTATGGTTTTGCTTTTATACTATTTAGTCTACTATGATAAATGAATATTTTTTTGTCATATCTCACTTTTATTCAGTTTACCAAATGTCAATTTGTGGTTATTTTGAATTAATTTCTTTTACACATATCATTTTATGAGTTTTTTTTTTTATTTTAATAAATTTTCCATATAATACTTTAATGTAATAATTACAATAAATATAGTACTGAATGAATATCAATTTCATTATTGAACTTACCTTTTTATTTCAAAATTTCTAAATTAAAGCTCATTAGTTTATTTTGTTTATTTATTTAAATTTAAAAGAAAATTCAATTTTAATAATTCATTATTTTTCTTATTTTCTTATAAATCCAAAGTTTTTAAATATTTAGACTTTTGAATTTAATTTTTTTAATTAACTCATGTAATACATGGATGTTACACCTAGTATCTATTATAATATAAACTTTGTTAAACTTTATTTTTATAGTATTATATATGGATTATTATTATTTTATATCATCTTATATAATTAAATAGTTCTTAACTTTATTTTTAGACAAAACCTCATAAATGGTCCCTTTGGTTTTTTGAAATCTGGAATATAGTCCCTAAGTTTAAAAAACCTCATATATATGGTCCATATTAATTTTAATTAAAGTTATTTAGGGATAAGAAAAACCCTATGGTTCGATCTCAAGCCTTCTTGGTTCATTTGATGCAAGTTATGAAGAAATAAAGTGGTTCAAGGTATACTTTCTTCCTCCTTTAATGTAGAATTCGAGTTTCATCTATAAACTAGATTATGACCCGCGTTAAACGCGGGAAACACATAAATAAAATGCAAATTTATATAGATATTACAAAATAATTATAAAAAAAGTAGGGTTATGGGTATTATTGAAATGTGTAGAAATTACACTAAAATATGTAAATATATAGCGTTAAATGACCTCTTTATAGACAACATTTTTTGTTTTATTAGTTCAATGACCTTGTTTGTCACATATAAGTACCTTCAAACATTTTTTACTTGTGACACGGAAAACAACTATACATAGCCAACCATGTATGAAAATGGGTCTACACAAGTATAATCCAACATTTAACAATGTACTTTCAAAATACATTGTTATTTTATGGCTATATTGTGAAATATAACTTTTTATTTCAAAAAAATAGCAACTTATTTATATTCCTTCAAAATGAACCACATAAAACCCCCTACAATATTAAATATAAAGAAACTATAACCAACAAATCTGCAACAAAGCTAATCATCTCCTTCCACTTCATCTCTAATATCAGATCTTTTTTTCCTTAATCTAAGTTATTGTCACTATCATCGATAATGTTAAGATTCATTTATGGCTTCTTTTTTATTTTAGGGATAATATGACAGAAATCATTTATCAGGTCCATCATTTATGTTTATATCTTCATTTTTTTTGTTGATTTTGATATGCCTTCTTCGGTTTACCACCATCTTTTTTTTTTCAGACTCCTTTTTTTTTTGGGTAAATTACACGGATGGTCCCTGTGGTTTGGGGTAACCTGCGCGCCTAGTCCCTGAGCAAGATTTTTAACTCGGATGATCCCTAATGGTAAAATTCATAACCCTCCTGGTCCCTCACTTAACATCTCGTCTAGTTGCTCCGTTAAAACACCCCACGTGCAAGGCATGCAGGGGTATTTTTGTCTTTTCATGTCACCCAGTCTTCTTTAAACATGGTTTATTTGTCTTCTTCCCCCATTTCTTTCTCAATCGCAGTCTTCTCCTCCTACCTTTCTTCTCACAGCCGATCAAACATGGTGAAATGCAATTGTGGTGCGATAGGCGTTATACGTACTTCAACTACGAAAAGAAACCCAGGTAGGGCATTTTATGCTTGCCCATTAAAGGTACGATGCTGGAATTGTTTTGGGGGATTTTCTATTGTAACCCTAGTATGTGTATGTGCTAATTGAAGCTATTCACAGTACAGGGACCAAGGTCTGGCTTTATTAAGTGGGTAGATGAAGAAAAGCATGGTCATGAGGCGGAAATAAAAAATGAGGGGCTTGAAATCCAAATTCAAGAACTTGAGGTCCAAAATCGGAATCTGAAGGCATTGTTAATAATCAGTTGGTTTTTGTTTTTTGGGATAGTTGTTTACAAGTTGTAGTGTTAGTTTTAAGATCAATTGATGTAGTTGCAGTTGTTTACAATGCCTTGTAATGAATCTTATTTGTATCAAGGGTACCCTTTTATCAATGAAAATGATATTTTGTTGAACTTGATTGTATTTTACAATTTGTGATGTATCTTGGGACATTGGTTAAACTACATTGCTAAAAGAAATCAAAAGATTACATTGACAAAAGCAGATGACCAAAATAAAAGCAAAACATATGACCAAAATAAAAGCAATGCCAAAAGCAGATGACCAAAATAAGCAAAACAGATGACCAAAATAAAAGCAATCAAAAGATTACATTGTTTGTCAAAGGCAAAGTACATTGCTAAAACTGGATACTATAATTACACCATTGTTTTTCAAAAGCAATCAACATAACCATCACAACACATAAATTAGTTCAAAAGAAGACAATGTTTGTCAACATCAACCAAAACAATACATAAGCACCTAAAAGCCACATTTATGGGACACCTTTCCCTTTTTTGCTAACACTTGCCCTCACTTTTGCACTTCCAGCACCACTAACATTCCTTGAAGTTTGTGATCCACCAGCCTTCACTTTTTCACTTCCAACCTTCACTTTTTCACTACCAGCACCACCAACAATCTTTGAAGTTTGTGATCCACCAACATTCCTTGAAGTTTGAGAACCACCAGCCTTCTGTCCCTTGCAAGTCCTTGCATTATGCCCACTTTTGTTACACTTAGAACATGTCACTGATTTTTGTGCTATTGACAATTGGTTACCTTTCACCAAATCCTCAACCTCCATGGCAGATCTCCTTCTCTTTTTCTTTGGTCTTCCAATGGGCACATGGTGTTTTGGAGGGATTAAGGTTGTAGGGCATGTAGATTTCTGCCACATGTTCCTTCCATTGATTGGGTGAATTGTAAAAGAAATCATATTCTTCCATGTTTCTAACCAATATGTTCGATGGACCCAATGTTCGGGTATCTTATCAATTTCTTTGTTCTTCAACATCTCCCACATACATGCTATTGCATGTGCACATGGTATCCCTATTAGTTCCCACCTTCTACATGAACATGTTTGTTGGCCCATATCTACCACAAACTGTTCCAAAAGATTTTTACTGACTTGATATTTCCCATTCCCATAGAAAACAGACCTTAATTGTGAAGCCTCTTTCTTCAGTTTTTCAACCCATATGGTAGCTGTAGGAGTCAAGGGACCTACAGCTTTATTAATTTCCTTTTGCACAGTTACAATTTTCTTCACTAAGTACTCTCTAATGTACTCCAAACATGTAATGATTGGTACATCACGACCTTCAACAATCTTGCTATTTAGAGATTCACACATATTGTTAAGCATAGCATCTGCATGAGCTCTACCTGATAAATCATTAAAATATGTATGAGCTATTTAGAGTTTCACACATATTGCACAGCTACAAACTAATGATCTAACATTAAAATCTACCTGTAAAGTGTGAACGAGACCAATGTTGAGGAGGAATGTTTTTAAGCCACTCATACGCATCATTATTAAGTTTTCTAAGTTCCTCCATTGATCGTTGAAACTGTTGAATAGTAGATGCTTTTGCACAATCCCATAGCAAGTCTTTGAATTGCTTTGCCCTCCAATTAGCTTTCATGTTTTCATGGATATGACGAAGACAATAACGATGCTCAGCGCATGGAAACAACTTTGCTATAGCAGGTAACACTCCCTATATAATGGAAAATTGTATTAAAAGTATATCATATATAATGTATTAATTTGATATTCGAATTAATACCTTTTGTCTGTCTGTCATAAACGTAAAATTTGAGTTTGTTCCTAAACCCAAATCATCCCCTAGACAAGTTAGAAACCAAGTCCATGAGTTGGTACTCTCAGATTCCACAACAGCATAAGCCAGTGGATATGTTCCATTATTACCATCAATTCCCTACATAAGTAAAAAATTTACAATTAAAGCACCATCAATAACCTAAAATACAACTTTTTATAATATAAATGTAGTTCATATGAAAAAAGGTTACCACAGCTGAAAGTATTTGTCCTGGGTATGGACCCTTCATAAAAGCACCATCGAGACCAAGAAAGTCTCTTCTTCCAGCAGCAAATCCCTTTTTTAAAGGACCAAGACAGATGTATATGCGCTTGAAAGTTCTAGTTTCTGAATTTGGATTTGGTTCACTCTCTACATCAATCTTTACAGTCGTGTCTGGGTTATGTTTTTGAAGTTCTTGAACATAGTCTCTCAATAGAGCATACTGACCAACATAATCCCCTCGCACCTGATTGAGAGCTTCAGTTCTAGCCCTAAACACTTTCATCTTGGAAAGTCCCACTTGGTAATCACGTTGCAGTTGTTCTTGTAAAGCACGAATTGGAATAGTTGGGTTAGATTCCACCTGAGTTGTAATCTTTTTGGCAGAAACTTATAAGTACACGCTTTAACATTCCGAGTTTGGAGACAACGATGTTCTTTGTTGTAAGACTTGACCATCCAGTTTATATCACGTTTCCATTTACTAGCGTAGAGGCTCCACGGGCACTTCTCTTCATCTTCATTGTTGACTTCTTGTTGACCTTCCCCACTTTTGTCTAAGTTTCCCAGTTTTGGTATTGTCCCCCTACACACAACTCTTACCCTATTCTTGTCATTTTTTTCAAAACCAAGTTCCCTTCTTGTCTCAATAGCATGGACTTTAACTCTTTCTTTAAACTCTTGGGCTGTATTAAAGGTTTGAAGGATATAAAATGGTTCAGCAACATTTGCTTCATCATTCTCATGAGCTCGTTGGATAGCTTTGATGGTCTTCTTTCGTTGACCAACTGGACCTTCATCCGAAGATGATCCTGACAAAAGTACCTCGTTATTTAGTACTTCATTAAGCTCTCCAACTTCATTCTCTTCTTGTACCACATTGTCATTCATACCTCCAACCCACTCTGCATCCATATCAATGTTATCATTGAAATCATTCATGTCAACTTCTACATCATCTAAGATGTTGTCATTGTCAACATAAAAGTCTATATCATCGGACTCACTGGATTTATAACCACTATCATCGTCAAAGTTGTCCCCACTTCCAAATTCTTCTTCGTTTATGTCCTCAAACATGTCCCCACTTTCAAATTCAGACCATGGATCTTCTCCACCCTTGTTACCATCCCTAAATTCAACTTCATTCGTGTGCTCAAATTTGTCCCCAATTTCAACTTCAACGCATGGATTTCCTTCCTTGTTATTATCCCCATTATCAGTTATGTCCATATTGTCATCTCCAGTGACGTCCATTACATTAGCCTCTTTAGAAGCATCCCCAACAACATTTGTCTCCCCAGTATCATACCAATCTAAGAAAAGCCTACGAGAACATGATGGAGGTTCAATAATTTCCTTTATTTGAACTTTTGCTTGATTTGGGGACATTGTGTACGTATGTAATTGGGTTTTTCCATGCTCAATATAGACTTCAATCAACTTATGCTTGGAAATGAAGGTACCCAGATGTCTCACATCCTGATCACTACCCAAAGCAAATAACCCGAAATCTAAATCTGAAAAAGGTCGTTTAAAGTGATAGTACAAAGGTATACCTTCATCAACATAGCCTAACTGTTCCATCATTTCATCAATGTCATGCACTGAGAAAGTATCCATGTCGAGTAAGTCTATATACGTTTGTTTTCCTTTGATGTACTTTCTTCCAGGAAATTTGGTGAACTCTCCACCATGGTATAACCTAATGGAAAAGATTGTCGGATGCCCCCTGTGAAATAGCCCACTTCAGATAAGGTTTCAACAAAATCCAAGTTATAGAAGATTGAGAGTGAGAGAATACTTACAGTAACGACGTCCAACATCGATTTCCTCCATATTTGCACGTATACGCCACAACACCATTGCGTTTTAGAGGAGAAGATATCACGATTAGGGTTTTCTTATCGGAATGTTGAAATTTTTCTGGGTTTTCTGAATGAAAAGATGGAGTACAAAGCAAAATGATCGCCTCTTCGTATACAACATGGCGGTAACACTAGAATATTAAAAAGACAAAAATACCCCTGCGTGCAAGTGGGGTGTTTTAACACTAGAATATTAAAAAGACAAAAATACCCCTGCGTGCCTTGCACGTGGGGTGTTTTAACGGAGCAACTAGACGGGATGTTAAGTGAGGGACCAGGAGGGTTATGAATTTTACCATTAGGGATCATCCGAGTTAAAAATCTTGCTCAGGGACTAGGCGCGCAGGTTACCCCAAACCACAGGGACCATCCGTGTAATTTACCCTTTTTTTATGAAATAACATTTTTTTGTGAAATTCTTTCTACGGTTTTGAGTATGTGCAGGTATGTTGATTTTTTGAAGTAAAGAAAGTAGGGTTTTTGTTCGATGTTGGTTTCTAGGTTTGGTTCTTATTTTTTGTGATTTCTCATAATCCATTGCATTTTATTTTCCATCTTTATCTACAATCTTTATGTATAGAGAACTTTATCCATATAGTCATTCATTATAGAGTTTAATGAAGGAAAAAAGAAACACCCCTTTAGTTTTATTTACTTTGCAAATTATCAAGCCTCCATGCAAAGCTTATAACATAATGAAAAAAACAAAAAACCCTTATGAGGTAAATGCCAATTACGATTCTACCCCTTTTCCTCTTGTAAAAATTATCTCACTTCAAAACATCTACTTTTGTGTTTCAGCATATTATTGATAGCATGAAAGATCCAAGCATTGTTGCATCACAATGCCTCAAATTATGGGAGGATTTAAATATGGTGATGAGGTCAAACATAAAATATGGTGGTAATACAAGGTTCTTCTATTTCTTATTTATTTATTTACTTATTTTTTAATTTAACTTTATTAAGAAATTAAATAGTTTTTTTTTATTGATATTAGTGTTTCTTATTTAGAAAAATATGCGATATGATCAACTTCGTGATGCTATAGCAATGAGAAAACTTGGATGAGCAGGAAGTGAGATAAATTTATAGTTTATTAACTTCAATGAGAAATTAATTAATTATAATTTTTTTATTTAATTTGAAATACAACATTGATTATATCAATGGATTCTGAACGTGCAAGAAATGATCCAATGGTAGTAAAGAACATTCATTACTATAAAGCAAAGAGCAAATTAGGGGCAGAAATGATGAAGATCAATCTACTACTATAAAGCAAAGAGCAAATTGGTCCCTATGTTTAGTTGATTTTTTGGTTTTGGTCCCTAAAAGAATCAGGTTGTAGTTTTTGGACCTTGTTTCACTGTTTCATAAAACTTTTATGATTGCCTAAGTTAACAACCTAGCTATTACTTTTTTTTAGATCAGCATTTTGCCTTTGAACCAAAACTAAAAAACATATAGCATAACAATAAAATTTATATTTTTCTTTTTTTTTTTCTTTTTTTTTTCTTTTTTTTTTTACTTAAGTTTAGAGTAGATTGCATTTTTGGTCCTTGAGTATGCCTGATATTTTTCCAGAAGGTTCTAAGGGGCGTTTTTGGTATTTCAGGGTCAAATGGTGACTCTAGTTGAGTGCACACTTCTATTATACCGTGCATTCTTACCTGTCCATGTATGGTACCGATTCTTTTTGAAAAAAGAATACGGGAGCCTATTTTCATCTTTAACAACATGCTTATATTTAACTTTAAAGCTCATATCAATTGTTATGAAGGTATATTTCATATTCTTATTTTGTTACTACCGGAGACATAAAAAAAACTTTCTAATGAGGACGTTCTTATCTTTTGTACAACCCATTTGTTTTATTATGTCATGTCATCTCTTGTCTTGTCTATTGATTTTTTACAAATGTATACACACACATGTAACATCATAATTTCATTATATATAACATCTAATTTTAACATTGAGTTTACTGTTTTCGAAAATAGGATCATAGTTACCGATTAAAAAGATGGAACTAAGAATCGAACACAACATCAATTTTTTTTCAAAAACAACATTATACATCCAAATTATAAGTATTCAACAAAGAACCATACGAATGAGTAAAAACATATAATTTCGAAAACAATATCAAACTTACAGATTGAAATGATTTAAGGAAGAAATACAAACATTTATTCGACTAATCAGACTGATGGGAAGGTTGAAGTTTTTTTGCATTTGTTTTCTACGTGAGAATTATGACATAATGTTTGTGTAAATCGATTATTAAAAAGGTTTGAAATATATATATATATATATATATATATATATATATATATATATATATATATATATATATATATATATATATATATATGTATGTATATAAGTCAATATGATGAAAAATAACAGGTAATCAATTGAAATCTCATTTAAACTTAAAATAGAATATATCATCCTTGAAAAGTGTGTTGGTTCATAAAAATATCCGAAACTTTTGAAATTTGAAATTAATAGTTTCCGAGATTTCAACATATATGTATTTGGAAAGCAATTTTGAATGGAAATAGAGCCTAAATTTAAGGTTTACATTAATAAGGAACCAATTTTGTAGTTATAAGTTTGGAAAGAATTCAAGTATCATTTTCATTAAATTCCTACATTTAATTTCCTAATATAATGGATTGACTTCTTGTTTGATCAAGGTGACGTAAGCAAATTTATCTAAGAGTGTAAAATCTATAATGAAAACACAATCAACGATCCAGTTTGTTTTAGATGATGTCATAAGGTTTCTCTTTTGATAAGCAAATGTTTTTCCATTTATTTTTAGTGATTTACATATTTGGTTCCTATGTTTAGTTGATTTTTTGGTTTTGGTCCCTAAAAGAATCAGGTTGTAGTTTTTGGACCTTGTTTCACTGTTTCATAAAACTTTTATGATTGCCTAAGTTAACAACCTAGCTATTACTTTTTTTTGGATCACCATTTTGCCTTTGAACCAAAACTAAAAAACATATAGCATAACAACAAAATTTATATTTTTTTTTTTTTTTTTTTTTTTTTTTTTTTTTTTTTTTTTTTTTACTTAAGTTTAGAGTAGATTGCATTTTTGGTCCTTGAGTATGCCTGATTTTTTTTTCAGAAGGTTCTAAGGGGCGTTTTTGGTATTTCAGGGTCAAATGGTGACTCTAGTTGAGTGCACACTTCTATTATACCGTGCATTCTTACCTGCCCATGTATGGTACCGATTCTTTTTGAAAAAAGAATACGGGAGCCTATTTTCATCTTTAACAACATGCTTATATTTAACTTTAAAGCTCACATCAATTGTTAAGAAGGTATATTTCATATTGTTATTTTGTTACTACCGGAGACATAAAAAAACTTTCTAATGAGGATGTTCTTATCTTTTGTACAACCCATTTGTTATATTATGTCATGTCATCTCTTGTCTTGTCTATTGATTTTTTACAAATGTATACACATACATGTAACATCATAATTTCATTATATATAACATCTAATTTTTTCATTGAGTTTACTGTTTTCGAAAATAGGATCATAGTTACCGATTAAAAAGATGGAACAAAAAACCGAACACAACATCAATTTTTTTTCAAAAACAACATTATACATCCAAATTATAAGTATTCAACAAAGAACCCTACGAATGAGTAAAAACATATAATTTCGAAAACAATATCAAACTTACAAATTAAAATGATTTAAGGAAGAAATACATACATTTATTCGACAAATCAGACTGATGGGAAGGTTGAAGTTTTTTTGCATTTGTTTTCTACGTGGGAATTATGACATAATGTTTGTGTAAATTGATTATTAAAAAGGTTTGAAATATATATATATATATATATATATATATATATATATATATATATATATAAGTCAATATGATGAAAATTAGCAGGTAATCAATTGAAATCTCATTTAAACTTAAAATAGAAGATATCATGCTTGAAAAGTGTATTGATTCATAAAAATATCCGAAACTTTTGAAATTTGAAATTAATAGTTTCCGAGATTTCAACATATATGTATTTGGAAAGCAATTTTGAATGGAAATAGAGCCTAAATTTAAGGTTTACATTAATAAGGAACCAATTTTGTAGTTATAAGTTTGGAAAGAATTCAAGTATCATTTTCATTAAATTCCTACATTTAATTTCCTAATATAACAGATTGACTTCTTGTTTGATCAAGGTGACGTAAGCAAATTGATCTAAGGGTGTAAAATCTATACTGAAAACACAATCAACGATCCAGTTTGTTTTAGATGATGTCATAAGGTTTCTCTTTTGATAATATTTAGAGATTGGAAGATCTAGCCCAACGGTATCTGATGTTGTCATGCATCCTTGAGGTCTAGGGTTTAAGTCACGTGAGGGACATAGGTAGAGATTTAGGAGTAGTTTAAGAGTATAAAGATTTTTTCGTTCCAAAAAAATGTAAGGGTGTGTTGGGTTGTGGAAAACTGTTTTAATTTTGTAAGAAAATGTTTTCAGAAAAGAGAGTTGAGTTTCATTTTTAGTTTGCAATGGAAATTTTAGAAAACGCATTTGGTTGGAAGCGGTGGAGTTTTCATTTTCCGCCTTAGAACTTTGGAAAACTGTAGAACTCGCTTTTCTAACTTAAATACAATTTGGATAACTGAAAATTTTCATTTTTTTAGAAAACTTTGGAAAAGTGAACGAACCAAACGCGTTTTCAAATTTTCCATTTTTCTTGGAAAATTTTCCTAGAAAACTGGAAAATTTTCCACAACCAAACGCACTGTAAAATTGTTTTCATTTTCTATGAAAATGTTTTTAGAAAATAGGGTTGAATTTTCATTTTCAATTTTCAATGGAAACGTGTTTGGTTGGAACGGGTGGAGTTTTTATTTTCCATCTTAGAAATTTGGAAAACTGTAAAAATCACTTTTGTAATTTACATACAATTTGGAAAACTGCAAATTTTCATTTTCTTAGAAAACTAAACGAACCAAACGCGTTATCAAATTTTTTCGTTTTTCTTGGAAAATTTTCCTAGAAAACTGGAAAATTTTCCACAACCAAACACACCCTAAGATTTTCATCTCATTTGAGGATTAGGGTTTGGTATTCTAACATCCCTTGAGTTGTTTTTGGTAATCCTTATCTCAATCCAATCACCCCACTGATGGATTTGAGGATTTGGGTGAAAGCCCCCATGAACCCTAGAAATCAAAATTGGGGATTTATTGTTTGTATGTTAAATTGGAATAGATTCTATGACTTAGATGTTGTTTGATGATAGTGAATCCAATTATAATACTCAAACACATGAATAACGGTAGAATCATGTATAAGATAGGATTGAAAATGGATTTTGGGACAACATGATGAAATCAATAAAATCCTTTGTAGTTGAGCAATTGATAAGTAAAGGAAGTCCATAATCATGAATGGATACTCTTGGAATGATTTGGATTCAAAACATAATGTGTTACTTTATTCATTGATTAATATATGGAATTATTGGCCTTAAGGGCATTTTGGGAAATCTAAGGATAACTACGTGATGATTGACATATAAGAAGTGAATGACATTCATAGACATGAATTGACACTCTAGAGATGATATCAAAACACAAACATGAAGGGATTCTACTGAAGTTCTAACTCTAGTGATTGTTTTGGCCTAAAGGGTAATTTAGTAAACATGGAATAGAATTAAGGATTTCATAGTTACATTTGATACTTACAATGATAATGGTTGATTTTTATGTAGTTGACAACACCCAATGATGTATTAAATGATTTGGGAATAAGTCTCAAAAATTGATTGAGGATGATAAATGCATATCCATATTATTTCTAGTTAGGTGGTATTATTCATTATACCATTACTTCATATACACCACAACAAAAGGTGTATCAAAAGTGAAAAAAATAAAGGGGATTAAGGGAGAAACCATATCATGCTATGTAGTAAATAGAATTCAAAATAAAAGAAACAAAATAGGCCATTATGAGTAGATAAGAGTAGACAAGACCAAGAAGAAAGCACTATGGGAGAGAAGAATTGATTGTATAATATTGGATATGCTAAAAATTCCAAAACATATAGGTTTTATGTAATATAACTTAATGATGAAGATCGAATGCGTTGCCTGCAACTGATGAAGACCGAAGGGAGGTTGCCTCAGAGTCGCATAGCCGGCAGATGACGTATGAGCAGCTCCAAGAACAAGAGTTGGTTATCCTAAAATAAAACTTGATTTTGACCTTGAGCACCTTGAGAACCTGAAAAGGAATTAGAGTTAACGGAAACATTAGATTTAACCCCACACCCCTTTGGTAGCAAATCGCCCATTATTTTTTCCCCTATTAAATTTATTTTTCGATTTTCCATCGGTAGATGTGGAGGAGTACAATGCAACGAACGATGTAAGAGAGGCATCACCGGTAAGATTAATTGATTCTTTACGAGACTCATGTATGAGGAACATGTTCTTTGATTCGAGGAACGAAGGGAATGTCATTGTATTTGTGGTCACATCACATTAACAATGTTATGGTAGGAGGGCAGTAATTGTTGAAGGATTTGCATGACAGGATCGATTTCATCAATTTTGGAATCATAATTTGCAAAAGCCTCAACTAGATTGTTCATGGAGTGACAAAATTCAGTACTAGAGGACGATCCTTTTTTCGTGTTGCGGAATTGCTCTTGGAGTTGGAGCATCCGAGACATTTTGTTGTTGAGAAAAAAAAACTCGTCTACATCGAAATCCATGATAACCCAAACATAGGAACTAATTATCAATGAAAGAGTGTTGACTTTTAAACTCAACATGATCTACTAAGATATCAAGGAATTTGATTATCATTATACCTTGGGTGTGTTCGGCACGGAGCGTTTGAAAGCTTCTAGTTTCTAGCGTTTGACAAAACGCTCCGTTTAAAACAAAAAGTCTCGTTTGACACTACAAGCTTCTAGCATTTAGTTTAATCAAAACGCTCCAAATCCAAATGCTACTTCATGTAGCGTTTAACAAAATGCTACAAGCTACCTGCTAGTTTTGCCGAGCACGCCCCTTATCCACCCGGGTTCATTTCATGGTAGACGAAATACTTTCATCATGCCTATTAAATCTTTTATTTTTTCTCTATTCCTTGTGTTCACTTGCGTAGGTAGATACAACTAGCACTCATCGAGTAATAAAATTATAAAAACAAACGTATTAGTATCAAACTCATGTATCATATGACACAAATTTATGTCCATATAATGTCAAATTGTCGACGTTATTTGACACCAATGATATCAAACAGTAATAGTAACAATCACTTGATAAAATACAAAGAAACCCCATTCAACACCATAACACAAACCGAAAACCTTCATGTTCCAAGAAGATCCACCAAGATCATGCATTTTGCATTTCGACCACCTTTTTCCAACAAGGTCGGGTAGAGATTTCTTCCCACCATCGTCCAACATTCTTCCTTGACTTGAACAATTCAGCCCTGTTAGTTTTCTCCACCAAGTATTGGGTGTTAGGTAGGTGAGAGAGATCAGCCAATGTGAACTCATCACCTGCTAAGTATCGACTCACACCAAGCCTCTTCTCATAGACATTAAGAACTTTTAAAAGCTTTGATTCGTTTTGTTTGATCAATGCCTCATCTTGTTTCATTTTCATTCGTGGAGCAAAAAATAACTGAAAGGTGAGAATTGAGCTTGGGGGATTGAAGCTTTGTGATTCTGCTTCTAGCCATTGATCGATTGAAGCTTTTACCAATGGGTTTGTTCCAAATAGGCCAATGGTTCCTTTGTTTTGGTACTTTTCTGCTATATATCGACATATGGCTCTAGATTCTGTAATCCACACAAAGAATCCATTAATTCTCAGTATTTTATCTGATAATGACGCTCTGATTCAATCGTAAATAAGTAGCATCGCTTATATAAGTTTCTGACGCACACATACACATAGACGAGGATATACCAAATAGGGTGATTTCATCGTCTTGAAATGCCGGAACTTGGCCAAAGGGCTGTATCAGAAAGAGCAATAAAGAGAGGTGAATTGCGATTCTCTTTCAAGCATTTAAACAAACAGTTAGAATCCATGAGTTACTTGAATCAGTTTACACCAAAATCGTAAACGGTGCAATTACCCGCGACACTAAGATTCAAGACAGGTAATTCGACAAGAAAAACGAGCTGCATTAAACTCAAATTTCCCTCCAGAATGATTAAACGACGAATAACGAGAGTAAGCCATTATATGTACCTGAATTTTAAGGTAATCAGGTTTCTTTTGTTCGCCTTTCGCCATGCTGATGGGTACAAGCTGAAATGGGACATCTTTCTCAAGGAGACAGGCCAAGACCCTTGACACGGCGGTCGAGAATGGTGGTCCGTACACCTTCACCGGCGTAGCCATTGAAGTAGCGGATAAGTCAATTGGATGAGTTCGGTTTCTGTTTTATGGGCGAAAAGGTTGGAGCGAGGCTCATCACGTGATTTAACATGAATGGGTTCCCTGCTTATCACGTGATTATACATAAGGTTGATTCCCTGATGGATATACTAATCTTGTATTTTAGAATTTAGACTAAAGTATTTGAGTTTGAAGGATAAACACAGAAGAGAAAATAAGGCCCATTTAACGTTTTATCATCCTGATCTATGAAATTTATAGATATTACAAGAAAACTTTAGCATAAATTTTGGAAATAAAATGTTGTAATAAATAGATTTCATTCTTTATAATTATTTCATATTTTAAGTATTGTTTTTTATTATAATGCAAAACATTTTGCTTTAAAGAAACATCGAATGAGAATTGAGGCAATTGAACCAGATGGCTTCCATATATATGCAAACCCGGTTTCCTTCACTTAACCTCCCACAGCGATGTGGGATAAATGATATTACAAAAAGAAGGGAAGCTTAATAGTTGATGGCTGATATTTTTTACTTATTGTCCCGCATTGATGAAGAGCAAAAAAGCATGAATATTTGGTCGAAAGTCATCATTGCTCGTAGTAGGGATGAAAGTGGGTTTAAACCCGGACCGGTTGATCCGGATCCGGAAAACCCGGAAACCGGATTTGACGAATTATAAGAACCGAGAACCGGACCGGTATACGGGAACCGGTTCCGGTTCGGTTCCGGGTATCGGACCGGGTAAAGTGGGTATGAACCCGAAAATTGATAATTGGAACCGGATTCGTGTATTAGACCCGAAATTAACCGGAAACCGAAAATTTGGAGAATCAAATTGAGGTGAATATATCTAAAACATCCCCAAACATAAACTATAAGTCTTGTACTCTTGTGCATTGTAAGTTTATTTACTTATTATTATTTTTTTCATTTGTTTTGATTTCTTTCATTATAATGAATGGCTTATGAGATATTGGATGAACTGAAAGCTGCAATCTTTTTTTGATTAGTGATTACAGATTAGTAGATTACTTAGTAAATTTACTAATGGATTGCTAATTTGCTAATTGTTGTGTTATATATTACAGATGATATACAATTTGTTATCGACCAAAATTTTGTATAATTTGTTGATTGAGTAACCATATCAGTGGATTTCTAATTTTGCATATCTCTTCCTTGAAGTTTTTCATTAAGTTTTATATATTGTTTCTTTATTTCAACAGTTAAGGCTTAAGATATTTTCATTGTCTTTATTTGTTATTTTTAAGATGTTTCCGTTGTCTCTATTAGTTATTTTTGTTATTATTATTATTATATAATTATAATTAATCAGAATGAGCATGAAACTAAATTTATTAAACTATTGAGTTCTTGATAATATGATTAGTGGCCTTTTCTCTTCATTTTTATTTTGTAATTTATGCTATTGCTTTTTGTAGATACCATGTTTCTAATTCTATTGTAATTTTATAAATATATGGTCCTTTTTGGATTCTTCTATTGTTGGTTAAGTTTTTTCATTGATTATTATTAGTTTATCCTTAATGGAATTAAATTTTAAAAAGCAATGATGATTTTCATTTAAAACATGTTATTCTACCATTATACATTGTAAGATGATTTTTTTTTTCTTTCATAAACATCCAACATGAGTACAATGATTTTAAAGATTATTGATTTAATACATCGAATATTATTAGTTTGGCAACCATTGTATCTTGTTTACTTCTACAAAACTAAACTGTGAAACTACAAATTTTCATGTTAATTGAGATTTCAGCCTTTCACGATTGGTAGTTTACATAAACTATGTTAGTTGCATATATTGACAAATAATAGAATATTATTACAATCTTAAAAAAACATGTGTAAATGTGTACTTATGCATTATCATGCAATTGAGTGTTATGGACTGAATGAAATAAATGCAAATGAACTCCAAAGAAAGCAAGTTGTATCGACTTAAAGGAGATAAAATTGACGAACAATTATAGAAAAGTTAGCAACACTTTATGTATTAATGTATATCTTGAGTTTAATTCTAAGTCGACGTAAAAAAAACAAAGACTCTACGGGTCTTCAATTGCATAAATCCGGTTCCGGCCCATTACCCGGTTTCGGTTCTTCTTTAGTATTTCCGATTCTTTTACCCGGTTAACCCGGACCCGTTGGACCCGTACCCGAAATACCCGAAACCCGGATAAGGCTAATTTTTAAACCCAAGACCCGGACCGGTTAAGCATATTCCGGTTCAACCGGTTCCGGTCCCGGTCCGGGTCCGGTTATCCGGTTTTAGTGCACATCCCTAGCTCGTAGATGCAATAATGAAATAGTAAAGCATTCAAGGATATGTTTTAAGGTCGAAAATGTTTACATGTAGAGACCATTTTCAGTTTCTAATTCCATATAGGTCGCTGAAAAGAAATTTGTTTAATATGTTTAATTAGCTTTGATTTCATATCGTTATATCTATACAATTCTTTGCTTTTTTGTCTTTTTACGGCCAACAAAAATATAAATCAATTTAGCTTTTAGTTTACATGTATCATATAATGATATAGAAAAGATGAAATAGTTCACTAATCATCTTTCACATATATCAGTTAAGAGTTGTCATTGCTGCTCATTCAATTCATACGTACTATTATAGAAAAAGGAATAGAAAAACTCTAGTAATTTTTAAAAGTGTTTAATTTTGTCTTTGTATTCGTCATTTCCATTTAATATCTCTTCTTATCCTCCAATCCTTGTGTTTAATAAACCTAAATTTGCCTATAAATTAATGACTTTTATCATATTCAAAATCATCAAAAAATAATTTTTTAAGAGACTATTTTAAATCAATTTTATGTATAATAATATAATTTTATCTTGGGGTGAAAGGTTGTTCCATGACTCATCGATCATCGTTGTGAACTCTATCTCCCTCTCGGACTATTTTGACTTGAGTTCAACATGTTTTTCTACAAAAAAAATTGTAACCACTTCAATTAGTTTTAAGCCAGGGCGGGTCGCCCATTTCTCCTGCTTCTCCTTAAGGTATTGGTGTCCATGCTCTTGAAATGATGACATTGTGTTGTGGATGATAAAGTACTCTATGGACGATCTTTGGATCAAACTTCATTATCAAAAAATAACAATATTCAAGCTTGGTATTCATTATCCATGTAGCTTCTAAAGTGAAACGACCTATAAAAAAAATTGGAGAAAAATATTAATAGGATACTAAAGATGCATAAATTGTTGCAAACATTATGCATTTTAAAATCTTTAGATAGAAATAACTTCGGATTATAGTCCTCATCCCACATAGGTGACAGTAAAGATATATTGATTGTTTAAATACGAGTCTGCTTTAATAATATTAGTTAAGGATTAATATAAAATTATTCGATATGGTATCTGAGTAATTTAATATTTATTTAGCTTGTTCTGATACCATATTGGAATATAATTTAATATTTATAATGAGTAATTTAATATTTATTTAGCTTGCTCTGATACCATATTGGAATAAATTATATGAATTCTTAAATTTTGTAATTTACCATGATTGAATATAAAAGCTATAATAGTTTATAATTTTTGTTATTTTCTTTGAAGGTGTATCCCGGTCGTATGATAATATAAAGGATAATGATAAAAATGAAAAGAATAAATTACTAAAATGGTCCCTGTGGTTTAGGTAAATTGCATGTTTAGTCTCTAACTTTTTTTTTGCACTCGTACAATCCTCAAGGTTTCATTTTATTACGTGTCTGGTCCCAATTGACGTTTTCTATCACTCTTCTCCATTAAGTATATCACGTGTCTGGCACACTAAGAGTATATTCGTCCTTTTATTTGAAAACCCTTTTTGAAGGTTGTATAACGTGTTTCTCTCTCTCTCTCTCTCTCTCTCTCTCTCTCTATATATATATATATATATATATATATATATATATATATATATATATATATATATATTATATATATATATATATATATATATATATATATATATTCTAATCACTTTCACTTCATCTTTCTCCGTCTTTTTTCTTCTTCTCTGCAACAACAATAAGAACCCTAATGGCACGAAATTGTAGTTGCGGTCACCCAATTGTAATACGAACATCACGACGAAGAAGAACCTTGGACGAAGATCCTATGCTTGTACCAACAAGGTAATTTTTTAACTCAACCCCATTAGTAAAAAAAAACCTTTGACGAAGGCCAAATTATCAAATTTTCAGGTAACAACTTGTGGTTTTTTTTTGCTCGGTTGATGAAGAAGAGTCTGATCATGCAAGAGCCGATCTTTCACTTCTATCAAAGCTTGAAGATCAGAATTTGAAGTTGAGGATGCTACTACTGCAAGAGCTGACCTTTCACTTCCCCTCCACTGTTTTTTCATGTTTTCGTATATATGGCGTAGACAAAACCTATGTTCTGCACATGGAAAAAGTGTCCCTACTACATGCAACAGTCCCTACAAAATACAAAAATAAATAAAATCAAATTGAATTACACATGTGTAGTTATAAATGTAACTCTTGTAGGAATAGATCGCCTTCTATCAGATATAAATGTAAAGTTGGAGTTACTATGCAACTCGAGGTCATCACCTAAACAATTTAAAAACCAAGTCCACGAATTGATGTTTTCGGCCTCTACTACAACGTACGCCAAATGATAAGTACAGTTGTTTCTATCAAGACCCTAAATACAAATATTAAGTTAGTAATTAAAAACATTAAAAATAGATGAGAAAAAAACAAAGTGTAAACTTACCACTGCAGTGAGGACTATTCATGGATAAGGACCCTTCATAAAAGACCCATCCAAGCCAAGATAATCTCGTTTTCTAGTTGCAAAACCCTTCTTCAATGACCCTAAGCATATGTATAAACGTTTGAATATTATTGATTCACGGTGGGGATTGGATTCAGTTTCAACTTCGATTTTCACGGTGGTGTTTGGGTTTCGTGTTTGAAGTTCCAAAATATAGTCTCTTAGTATAGAGTATTGGCCTACATAATCACCTCTCACATGAATATTTGCCTTGGTTTTTTCCAGAAATACCTTCATCTTCAAAATTTCACATTGGTATTGAGATTGGAGTTGTTCTTGTAAAGCTCCTGTAGGAATTGTGGGGTTACTTTCCACCTGTTGCACAATTTGCTAGGATAAAAACTTGTATGTACAAGCTTTCAGTCCTCGTTTGTAGAGATACATGTTTTTTTTCATACGTACGAACCTCCCAATCTGCATCGTTACTCCACTTGCTTGCATATAGGACCCATGGGCACTTCCTTTCTTCAATAGACCCACCAACACCTACTTCAATAAGGTCTGGTATACTATCTTTACAAATAGCCCTTACCTTATTTTTGTCATTTTTAATTATGACAATCTCTCTTCTAGTCTCGACAGCATGTTGTTTTATTTTGTTTTTCAACTCTTCAGATGAACCAAAATTCTAATACAAGTAAAAGTGATCAGTAACCTGTGCTTCACTGTTTTCTTCTACCTCTCGTATTGCTTTAATTGACTTTCTTCTACTTTTATCGCCCCCTCATCAGATGACGACTCAGATATCAATATGTCATTATTAAGCACCTCGATTTCTTCATCTTCCTTACCATCTTCTACATTCACACCCATTCTGAATTTTAGTCAATGTTCAAGAAGAATTCTTTCATATCTATGTCAGGCTCATCAATCATGTTATCCTTGTCTAATAGGAAGTCATTATCTTTATTATCAGTCAAATCATCACCATGCACTCTAATGTCCTCACTTCTATTGACCTCATCTTGTACAAATGTAGTAAAGTCTTGATCAAAGTTTTGTACAAATGAAGTAAAGTCTTGATCAAAACCTTGTGTTTGAAATTGAGGCTCATTTGGGGGTTTTCCACATTGATCAACTTCTGGTGTCATAGAACCACTACAATCCCCTGTTGTTGATGCCTTCCATTCTAAGAAAAGCCTTTCAGAACATGCAGGGGGTTCAATAATTTCCTTAATCCTAACTTTACTAGGGTTAGGGGACATTAAATATGTATTCAACATTGTCTTACCATGATCTGTATAAACTTCAATAAGTTTATATTTCCCTACATATGTCCTTAAGTGGTTAATGTCACTATCATAAGCCAAAGCAAACAAACCAATGTCCAAATCTAATAATGGTCTTTTGAAGTGATAATACAATAGCTTACCTTCCTCCACACAGCCAAGGATGTTCATCATTTCATCGATATCATGAATAGAGAACTCGTCAATGTCCACTAAATCAACATACTTTACTTTTCCCTTTTTGTATCTCCTTCCAGGAAACTTTGTAAAAACTCCATTATAAAACAGTTTAATCGAGAATATTGACGGATTACCACCTGTGAGAACGAGAATGAAGCTTAGGTTTTGAGAGTTTGTGCTTTAGATGAGAGTATTAAACACAAAAATACTTACTGTAACTCGTCCAACGTCTATTTCCGCCATGTCTGCTCGAATCCTCCACCCCACCATTGCTGCCTATAGGAAATCTTGATTGAAATCGAGTAGGTTAAGGTTTTCTATGCGAATTAGTTGATAGAAGTGGTATGTGTAACGTAAACGAGAAAGATGATCGGGAAGATATAAGAAACGTTTTCCATATCCATTTAGGCGTCATGTGTAAAAGGACGAATATACTATTAGTGTGTCAGGCACGTGATATACTTAACGGAGAAGAGTGACAGAAAACGTCAATAGAGACCAAACACATAATAAAATGAAACCTTGAGGACTGTACGAGTGTAAAAAAAAGTTAGGGACTAAACATGCAATTTTACCTAAACCATAAGGACCATTTCAGTAATTTACTCAAATGAACATGTTTGTGATTTGTTATTCAGGTCAAGATGCCAACATTTGTTTCCTTTTTATGTTTTAGATTCTATAGATAATTAATTTATTATATTTGACTATACAAAATTGTATTGTTAATAAATAACACGTTTTGTTTTATATAAAGTTGAAAATAGTAAGCATTTGTATACATTTTAGCCCTCAACTGTTTTAACTCCAAGACATCTCAGAAAATTTCCCTTTTTATTTAATTTTGGATATCTATATATTTGTACAATTATAAATAGGGATATTGATATAAAAATATAATGAATTTTCAATTTTATTTATATTTAGTTACTAGATTTTTTTTCGCATTTGATGTACCAATGAATTATATAATGTTTGCATTTTATCTTTATGACCGGTTGTTAAGTGAATGTTCAAATTTGTTGCAAACCTGACTATTGGGATTTATATTTACTATATATAATTTATTTATCATAATTTTTAAACATCACATTAATCAATTTGATCGGTACATATCATACGTATTATCATGTTAAGCACTATAATATTTCATACATTATAAATATGCTACTCTTTTTCAACATTGTTACTTTGTAACATGTAATGTTATATTAGTTATATCAATGTCTTTAGAGAAATAAAAAGATATAATGACGAGATGATAAAATGATCATACCAACACTATAATAAAGTCAATTTTACACTACTACAAAACAACCTTTTACGACGCGCAATGTGTGTCATAAAACGCTTAGATGATATGCAAATGTGTGTCAAAGAAAGCTCTGTCATAACGAAAGATGACATGCTTTTGCGCGTCGTCTATTTACGATATGCATTTGCGTTTCATAACCTTACGACATGCGTTTAGGACACGCATTGCGTATCATTAAATCCTCTGTCATAAATGAAGATGATATGCATTTGCGTGTCACAAACTTCAGCAACGATTTACGATATCCATTTACGATGCGTCTTTATAATAGTCATTTACGCATAATACAAAAATATGGAAACAAATATACACCAAAACAATCAATTGCATCCAATAACATCATGTCAAAAAATGATAATACATTGGTATTAAGGGGATCTAATTGTACATTGTTATTAAGAGGTTTTCCCTAACTATATAACCTAATACTACATTGCCATTAAGGGACACCTTTTTGTTTCTACTTCTTATTGTTATGCTTATGTTTCCACATAATACATGTTTTCATCATCAACACATTAGTATTCAGAAAGTCTTCAAGCATCATCAATCTCTGTTATAAAATATTAAAATTTAATACACATGTAGTAAAATACCTTTTACCAAGAATCCAGGCTTCGATACAGCCCATACCAGTATAAAATCATAAAATTTAATACACATGTAGATTATAAAATTTAATATGAAAGAGTGAAATAGTAAAATACCTTTTGCCAGTTGTCATTGCACCAATTCAATACAACCTATACTTGTATAAAATATTAAAATTTAGCTTGGAGCCATACTCTAGACAAAAGGATAACTTTGAAGCCCCCATAAACTTGCATACCTATTTTCAATAGAATTTATGTAAGAAAGAATAATATGATTCAAGTTTCCATGAGGATAACATTGAAGCCCCTAAAATCTGCAAGTTTTAGTTGTCCACCAGGTCCTATAAACAAATTATTTGCTTTCATATCCCTAAAAATAATAACAAAAACAAGTAAATTATTATTATTAATTACATTTATAACATCATGTTTCACAATTTATATAAAAGTAAACTTAAGTACAATGGTTATAGATGTTCATGTTTTGCAAGTACATGGCATTCTTTTTGATGATTTTTCCAACTATGAAGATAGTTTTGATATGAATTGTAAAGCACAAGGGTTAGAAAGGTAATTTTACACCCACAAAAATAAAAAATGTAATTCTTGGATAAACTTACCTATGCAAAAACCATTTCTTATGGCAAAAATGAATGAACTTGAGGAGGAGGAGGGTATCCAGCAGGGATGCCAGCCGGCACACCCATAAACCTCGGTTGGGTGATGATCGTGTTTACTTGTTGTTCAAGCCTCTCCTTTTCAGCCTTTAGTCTCTGCTTTTCATCACGTATTTCATTATTTTCAGACTACAAAATGTCATATAAATACATTATTAGAAACTTGAAGAAAAACTAGAAAACAAAAAAGACACATGGCACAACCGGATTGGATTGGATCAGTACCTTAAGCTCTTTAATTTTCTCTTGGAGATCTGAATTCGAGTCTTTTAGCTTCTGTGCTTCGCTTCTTAATTGAGTCACCATTCGCACAAAATCAACCAAAATAGCAGCCTTATCGGTTTTAGGGTTCCTCCCTAAAAGTAGTCGCTACCTACTGAATGAATACAAAACATAACAACGTATTAAGGGTTGATACTTATTGCCGACTTTTTCCTCACGAGATGAAGGCACACCTGGACCATTATGATAACATAAATTAATATACACAATCACATAAAGAAAAAAAAATTATATATTTACTCACCTGTCTGGATAACATAGTGGTGGCATCCAAATGAGCAAAGGTCCCAATCCAATAACCTCCATATTAACTTAAAACCATGGTGAAAGTTATTGATAGCCCATAATATAAATAAGGGAAAGTTTTGTTAGCAGATGAGACTGAATTGGAATGAGATTCCACTCAATGACACGTTTGGTTGCCAAAAAGATGGAAATACCCACAAACAAGAAGTTTAAGTATCATATACTCATTGTTCTTTGCATTTGAAAGCAGTAGTAGAGGATTTCGTTTTTCCTTTTCTTTTTGATGTTCTTGGCTTTCCATCTGATTCTGTCAAAACTATTTATCACCATATTCTCTTGCAATCTGCAACAGCATGTAATCCATGGATTTCCTAAAACTTTCTCCTACTTCACCAACACCATATACTCTTTGAAGGTATTTAATTATTATAGTTGTAGCTCTCACCATTTCCACATCCTCATAAAATTTGGTACTCAATATTATTGTAGAAATAGTAGGTTCCCTCAGTATTTTCTTTAACCCCAGATTTAAACTTGAACTACTGACTTCACTCAGATTTCCCAAGGCACCTATAGTGAACAAAACCTATAGCTTTCAGTACGAGCAACTTCATAAACTGAAACTCTGGTGCAAGAACAATTAGAATATTGTCAACTATAAAAGCCAAAGGTGAATCATATATAGATCTACACCTTCTTTGACAACTCCATACTGAAAGAAATCAAAAATTTCAATCAAACAAAGAGCATCTATAGCAGTGTAAGTCCTTTGCTCTTTTGTAAGAGGACGAACTGACAAATCACTGCATTGAAGTTCCCGAAACAAGATTATCATACTTTTCAGATTTCAAAATAGGAAATTTGTAAATGCTCCTAAAATACCCAATGCAAATTCATAGAAATAGATATAGGAAAAAGAAACAAAACCTTTGAAAGAGATATGCATAGAAGTTCCTCACATATGAATGATAGGCTCTTAGTACCCTTTGTCTTTCTTCTCGTTTACTTGTGATGCAGATGAATGTATATAGTTGCAATATCCAAAAATGGCTCCACCTTTTAAGTTTTTACCGAGAACAAGCATCACAATAACTATAGTTTAGTTTTCAAATTCCATTTTAGTTATGATTAAATGATGTGTGAGTAAAAGCTATTCCATAACACATGATGCACGAGTGCTAATCATATGTAAAATTCAAACCGACGTGATATATAAATTACGCAAAGGGATTGTGTTTACTAAATACATGATCACGCCAGTTAGACTTACATTTTGACACAAAACATCTCAAAATCCTAAATCTTCAATTTTCATAATGAAAGTCCTTTTGAAATGAAGAAATGATTACAGTGATTGGAGATCCGGTGTTGAGAACTCGTTGAACTCTCACAAGCCCTTCAGTACCATCCATAACAATAGTCCTCACCATATTATCCCCCAAATGCTACGCCACTTCCTAGACTAACCTAATCATTTGTGATGGGTGATGGAAGAGAGATAGAGGTTTGTTAAAGACAGGGCGGGGGTGGCGAACGAGATGTTTGATGATACCGATAAGAAGGAGATCAAGCAGAGATCCGATGAGAAGATTAACAAGTAACGGAGAAGTGGATCAGAGAGGAGAAAGAGAGAAAGAGGGAGAGGGGAGAATCGATTGCGAAGATGAAAGATAGAAAGAAAGTAGAAAAGAACAAGGCAAGTTTTCAAAATTTTGGGGATTCCATTTCCCCCATTGTCTACTAAACGCGTTTTTCATTAAAATTATTAAGCGATAGTTTTAGAGGACGCACATTTAAGATAAAGCTCATCTCTGTGTTTTTATTCTTTTTCTTAAGAAACTAATTTAAGGACACGAAATAATGCGTGACCTAAATCCTTAAATTTTTTGTAGAGATGACACTATTTTAATGTCACTCTCGTTTTCGTAACATAAATCAATGCATGTCGTGGTTTGCTGTGACAACCCGATATTTTTCCAGTCAATAAAAGTCAACCTTCTTAAATAAAATTTCGAATTTTATTTATTCCATTAAGCTCGTGAGGGTTAATGATTTAAATTATATAAATAATGTTTATATAAGTTTTTGGAATAAAACACACTCAAAAATAACCATTTTCCCCCTTAAAAACCAAGAAGCCTCGGACCGAAAACTCACTTTTTCGGCCGAGAACCCTCGGACAGCAAACCCATGGACCAAAAACATG